TGTGCGTCAGGGTTGCCTATGTGTCATTAACAACACTGCAGCCCATTCCCAGACAGCTGAGTACTTTGTCATATAAATACACTACAACTTCCCCTCCTGCATAAATGGAAGTAGCTAGATTCTAGCACAGAGGCAAAAGCTTATAGTTAGTCATGCCCTGAAAGCACTGCTGAAAAGCAGACATTAATGAGAGAAATATCCACACTAGCAAAAATACCTTCAACTATAATCCATCTGCAAGTCTAAATACACACACACAAAAATAGAAACATGAGAGGAGATAAGACAACAAAATCCTTTCAAAAACTCAAAACTGCCCAAAGCCTGGCAGGGCCAGGAAGGGGAGGGGTCAAAAGCCATACAACTGAATTTTGTGAAAAGAAAATACAGATATTTTTTAAAAAATAAAACCAATAAGATACTTGGCAAGCTCAAAGAACATATAGGTAAACAGATAACAGGTCTATTAAATAATCAGTGATCTAGAGAACACTAATAAAAAGCTAGCTGAGCTAAACAAGTGATACAAAGCATGAATGCCCAACACAGAAAAGAATTAGAGTCCATTAAAAGGTACCAAACACAAATTCAGGAGACTAGAAATTCCATTGCAAGTATGGGCTGCAGAAGTGACTAGTGTAAGGAAAGAATGTCAGAACTAGAAGACAGGGCTGTTGACAATGACAATTTAATAAGAGAAACTTTTAAGACAACAGCTGAACATGAAAAATGGATCAAACATCTGCTAGATACTGAAAGAAGACTAATCTAAGATTAAATAGAATTAATGAAAAATTAGAAATAGCTCAGAAGGAGTAGAAATCTGGTTACTGAAATAATAGAATAAAAATTTCCAAATATGGGGAAAGACTTTAACACATAGATAAATGAGACATATAGAAGCCCCAGAGCCAAGATCAGAAAAGAACCTCTCATGACATATCACAGCCAAATCCCAGGAGACCGACACAAAACCAAAACTTAAAAGCTGTTAGAGAAAAGCAACAAATCATTTATAAAGATAAAACTTAAATTTCTCAGTACAAACCATAAAGGCCAGGAGAGCTTAGAGTAAAGCATCTTAAGCCCTAAAAGAAAACAATTATCGAAGAGGGCAGAGCAAAAATGGCGGATAGATAGCTGGCTACAGAGGCTCCCTGAGATAATCAACTTAGAATTAAACAGAGGGAGATGAATTCTCTCATCCCAAGAAGAAACTAAGGTGAGAAAAATAATCAAACATACAATCTCGGCCAGCCACGCCACCATGCAGCCCTGAGTGCCTCTGGGCCACTGCACTCCGGCAGCTGCCTTCGACTCTGTTGCGCAGGCCCGCTGGAGGTTGGTGGAGAGAAGTGACTCAGCACGCACCAGCTGCCCCCGCCGCTGCCACTGTTGTTGTCGCTACCACTGCCAGGCCCACGCAGCTGGAGCCCCACGGAGCTACTGCTGCAAATGGAACCCAGAGAATGTGCTTCTGAAAACACCTTTCAAGACAGTAATCAAAAATACAGAATCAGATCTTGTCTCTTATGTTCAATTTCAGTGTACATAAAGATAAGGACAGCTAAGGAAGAGAATGAGGGACATTATGGCAGTCACTATTGACTTCCCCAAAATCAGGTCTTGAAGACCTAAAAAGCCTTCATCATCCTGTAATGATCTGATTAGTTCTATAATGTTCAGTATGTATTCAATGTGTATGAAGATGTGGACAACTATTTGGAAGAAAACTAGAGACAATAAGATAGATAGTGAAGATCTCCGGTGGACTTGCTTTGAAATCTGTGTTTCTTTAAATTGTTTCCTTATAAACTGTTTTGTTCTGTTTTGCTATGTTTAATCTTACCCTCTTTAAGATAAGAAACAAGTATGTGGGACTGATAACCATATTACTAAGTTCTTGTTGGATTGTTGAGCAGAACTGTTTGCAGTGTCATTGTTTGAATATCACTTTGTATGCTTTAATGTTGTAACTCAAGCAACTATTTTTAAGATGACGGTATGTAACTGATCGACTGGTGATTTCTTGTTTATTTTTCTGAAATTCTGTACTGTTTCTACCCCTTTTTTCTGTTTTTTTCTTTCTCTTTAAATAAAAAAAGAAAACAATTATCAACAGAGACTGATATATCCTACAAAACTATCTACCAAAATTGATGAAGAAATAATATACTTCCATGACAAGGAAAATCTAAAGAATTCATGACCAGCAAACCAGCTCTCCAAAAAGTTCTCAAGGATGTCCTAGAAACTGACAATAAAACTAACAATGACAAAATGTTTAATAGAATTAAACATTGAGGTTGTGGGAGTGCCTTAGTTACTTTCTCGTTGCTGAGACACAATACCCCACACCAACAAGTCCAAAGTAAAAAGGTTTGTTTGGTTCACAGATTGGAGAGGCCACAGTCCATAGTTGGCCAACTCCAAGGCAGGGCAGCTTGGCAGAGGCACATAGAGAGGAAGAGGTCATGGAATGGCAGCAGGAAGAGATCACAGGCTGGAAGATGGAGGTATATCCTTCTAGACCATGCCCTGAGTCACCCATAGCCCCCTCCAGGCTTTCCCTCCCAACACCAGATTTAGCTATAAACTCATCAGCGGATGACTATCATACCCCCTCACACCACAATCTGATCACCTCCTAAAACCACCACCTCTGAGCACATGAGGCTTTGGGGGAAACATAACTGATAAGCAGTTAACTAGAAAGGGAAGAGGGAGTCAGCAACAGGAAAATAATGCTATGATAGAAATAAGTCTATCTCTTTCAACTCTCAGTGATAACGGTGAATGAACTTCAGTCACAGATTGACCTAATGGTTCAAGAAACAAAATCTACCAGTGTGCTGCAATAAAAAGCACATTTAACCAAAAAAAGAAACAACTAGATTAAAAATGAAGGGATGAGAAGCAATATTCCATGCAATAGGAACTCAAACACAAGGTATGCTATTTTCAACATGAACTTTCAGTCAGAATTGATCAGATCATGCACTATATATTGGTTAAGTGAACAATTCAAAAGGTATATATAGCAACTATTAACATGTGCACCAAATACTGATGTCTCTAACATCATAAAACAAGTTCTATTGGACATAAAAGATCAGATGAACATAAACACAATCACAGTAGGGTACCTCAATATCGCAATGTCACAAATAGATAAATTAGACCCAAAAAAGTTAATACATTGTCTATTTTTTTTGTACCAGGAATCAAACTCAGAGTTGCCAAAGCTGAGCTATAACCCTGGCTCCTCAAAACAAATTAACAAACAAATAGAAGAAATTGAACAAAATCCTTGAACAAATGTACTTAATAGATATGTACAGTGTTCCACCCAACAGTAACGTAATACAGTATACATTCTTCCCAGCAACACATGAAACTTTCTCCAAAATAGGCCACATCCTACCAATGACATCCACGGCTCCCTGTAGCTCTCCTACTGTAGTCCCAAGCTTCGCTGACACACTTCTGTGGTCCTTCCCAGTCCACCAGCTGCCGGAACAAGCTTCAGGGAGCAAAGTCATCTCAGACTCTGTGCATGTAGCACCGTGATGTGGCCACATTTGTTCCTCTGCTTGTCTGTGAATGCTCTGAGGGAAGAACCTATATTACATTCAGCTGTAGAGTTGAAAATACACCAGCAGAGCACCAGGTCTGTACAGTGGAATCTCAATAGACGGGAAGAAAGAAAGGAAGAAGAAAGGGGGCTGGTGAGTAACTCAAATGTCCACAGCTCAGTGCTCCACCTGTGAGTGGCATCAGGGCCTCAGCTCACCCTCTGCATTTGTCCGATCGTGTATTGATAATGTGTTTGAAGTGCAAACCACAGTTAAACCCAACAGTCCCTGAAAGAGGAATGAGTGAAGTGGTACAAAAAAGCACTGTTTATATGTTAACATCCCACAAAGACAAAGAACAGCAGACGCCCCTCTGAGGAAATCCTGCCCGCTAGCCTCTCTGGGAGTTAGGTGGGAGTGAGCCAGATGTTTGAGCTTAAGACTGGATCTACTCAGAGAGGAAGACAGTCCCAAGCAGAATGAACTATGAGTGTTTCAAAGAGTACAATGTCCTAGGGGTTCTTAGAAGAGAAAAGAATAGTTTTTCCAAGGCCACAGTAGAGCCAAGTACCCTAGCTCATGCTGCCAATAGGATTCCTTCATTTGTTGCTTGAAATAGAAAAGCTCCTCCCAATGCAAGGAAATCACTTCCACAAAAATAAACCAAAATTGGCCCGACTCAGTAAAAGATATCTCTCAGAGCTATTTAAGTGATTCTCTTCATTTGGGGGAAAAAAATAAGCGCACATACTTAGTTACATATCACTGATAATAACTTACTAATTGTACTAATGGAGTTATCAATTATATAGGAAAGACTGTGAATTGGCTATTTTTCAAGTGTTCAAAAATGGAGACATGGGGGCTGGGGATTTAGCTCAGCGGCATAAGCACCTGCCTTGCAAACAGGCGGTTGTGAGTTCGATCCCGGGTACCAATAAAAAAAAAATGGAGACATACATAGATCTATTGCATCCTCTTTGTTTCTCTTCCATGGTGCTAATACATATTTGGGTTTCTATTTGTGGAGGGATAGAAGATCAGTAGGAACACCCAGGAGATGAGGGTTGGGTGAGGAGAAGGAAAAAAAAGTGAGAAAGCACAGTCACGTAGTAGACTTCCCATATTTATGTCAAAGAAATGGGAAGGAAACTCAACTAAGAGTCTCAGGAAATTCCTTCCCTCCTCTCAGCCATTTGGCGCTCTCTGGCGCATGCAAAAACAAATTCTCACAAGTGAAACTATGCTAAGAAAACCTAATTTATGGACCAGTGGTTCACACACTGCTGCACATCTGGGCCACCTGGAGAACCAAGAAATCACGCAGACACCTGAGTTCATTCAAGAGCAGAGGAGCCCCATATGATCCAGATCACAGCCAAGTTGAAAATCACTGGTGCAGACCCTCTACACTTAGACCAAAAATTTTTTTCTTGAACTAAAATTTTTTTATTTTATTATAAAGAGAACTAAACCAAACAAAATAAAACAGAATTAAACTAAACAGTGAAAACAATATAGGACTTCAAAACAAGATAATGAGAAATTAACAATGACTACCACAATGCCTCTTGCTATCTTCAAAATAGCTGTCCAGACCATCAGACATAGGCATATAAAATTAACCAATTAGGGCTGGGGATTTAGCTCAGTGGCATAAGCACCTGCCTTGCAAGCAGGCAGTCGTGAGTTCGATCCCCGGTACCAATAAAAAATAAAATTAAATTAAATTAACCAATTAGTACAAGAAATTTCAGGTTTTCACCTCTAATTTCGACTATGTGTCTCCTGAACTTGTTCTGGGTGGACTGGAGATCTGAGATTATATTTTGCTCCTTCGTCTTGACGTTTTCCTGTGTTTTTCTGAGCCAGTCCATGGCTACATCCCAGGTGCTTACCGCATTTGCTGCCAGTCCCTCAGTGCAGGGAGCTGAATGAGGCTTCTTCTCCAGGCCAGCTCTGGGCTCTCTGGATCTCTCTAAGCCACTGGCACTTGGCCTCGGGGTGTGGTTTCTTCTCTGAGCCCCCTGGGCTCACTAACTCTTTCCTGGCCACTGGCGAGGGGCCTCGGGGCCTGCCTTCTTCCTAATAAGGCCATTTGTTCACAATTTGGTTTGGTTCTGATACTTCTTTGTTGATTTTCTCTCTAGTTAATGTGTGTGTCTGGGACCATAGGGTATTGAGGTTTCCTGTTACAACTGTGTTATTACTCATTTGATTTTCCAAGTCTTCCAATAACTATCAAATAGTCGGGTGCTCTAATATTAGGTACATATATATTTATGATTGTCTAGGCATGTATGTTCTCTAGTTTTCTCACTGACCCTAATCAACCTTATGTTATTCTTCTTTGCTTTGTTTTGTAGCTGTTGGATTGATTTCTCATGGCCTCTTGCTATTTTTAAGATATCTTTCTTATCATCACTAACTACAGTTCTGTCAAGATCTGAAATTCTATCTTTTCCTTCATTCAATCTGTTGTGTATACTTTCAATGAAGGTTTTAATCTCCTGGATCTCTTTTCATATTTGTTTCATGGATTCCACTTCTCTCCTATGGCGACCTTTTCTAAGCTCATCTGTTCTTTTATTTATATCTTCTCTAATATCTCTGATTTTAAGCATCATTTCTTTTTGTACCCGAGAGATCATTTTCCTTCTATAGCCTTTTCTGTTTGTTTTCTCCCTTCTGTTGTTATCATTTCAGAAACTTCCATCTTTTGATGTGTGACTTCTAACTTCATCCGTCTCACTGAGGTCCAGGCCTGTGCTGGATGGGCTGGGGGTCTGAGGGCTGTGTCCCACCCCTGCATCTTGCCATTCTCCACCTTCTCTTTTTTCTTTTATTTTATCTTCTGTGCTGAGGCCCACCAACCTCCCATGACATTTATCTCTACCACTAGCATTGAGGTCTTTCTCAAGAAGGAAAGGAGATGTCCTTTCTTCAGGGATGTCCTCCAGATGTATTTGGTTCTTTACAGCTATTCCAAGAACTACCTTCTGGTGGCTACAGTGCTGTCATCATGTCCATGTGGCATCCCAGAGATGCACTGGGTGTGACGCCGACCTTGGCCTCTGGATGTATGGGCTGGGACTGGTCTTCTGTCAGGGGAGTTCTCCAGGGTGCACCTGCTGTCTCCTTACTGCTGCTTCAGATGCTTCCACATTACTGGTCTTGCTGATTACTTCGCCTTCCAGGGGTGCATGTGCCTCTGTGTGCTGAGCTGTTGTCCTGGGTCGTTGGGTTCCCACCAGTCTTACACTCTTTCAGCTGGCCCACCCTCTGGGATGCAATGGAGGAGGCCGGGACCCCAAACTCACTGTCTTCCAGCCAGCCCCACTATCTGAGATGTAATGGAGGAGAACACAGCACAGACTCACTGTCTTCCAGCACCTGGACCAAAATTTAAACAGAAAATAATGATGAGTTTATCTGATATCTCTCCATACAACTATTGCTTTTTTACATCTTCTAAATAGATTTACTTTTTTTTTTTGCAAAGTACCTACAGTTTGTTTTTTAAGCTTTTATGCTTTACTAGCACACGTTTGTAGTGCATAATGATCACATTCCTTGTTGGTACACATACATAATATATCTTAATTATTTTTAAAATATATTTTAAGTACCTATTATGTAATCAGAACTATGTTGTAATGAGCCTTGGAAATCCTACTTACTCCCTCAAATAACTTAAAGTTTTCTCAAGCAGTGTTTAATCAACAAGCATTTACTTGCTGCCACCCATGGGCCAGGCACTGCAACTACAAAAGTGCATAAAGACTTGGTCTCTCACCCTGAAGATGCAGTGGAGGAGACGGGGAGACATAATTACAGTGATGGCATTCACAGACCACGCGCTGGCTTTGTGTCAGACTCTCCTAAGCACTTTACTGGATGAGTGTCTCACATCTTCTTTAAAACCAGGGAGATACAATCATTGTGTGTCTCAATCTATATATGAAGAACAGAGACTCCTAAGGTTTAAAATTTCACCCATTTAGGGCAGGGGATTTAGCTCAGTGGCACAGACGCCTGCCTACCAGGCACAAGGTCATGAGTTTGATCCAAAAAAAAAAAAAAAAAAAAAAAACCACTCATTCTGTCTGCTAGTGAATGGAACAAACAAAATTTGACACAGCCACACAGCAGAATAATATTCAGCCATAAGAAGAAAGTATTGATATACAGGACAATGTCACTGAACCTTGAAAACATGCTAAATGAAAGAAGTCACATATTTTTATGATTCCATTTATATGAAATATCAAGAACAGTCTTTTTATTTAATTTTAAAGGGAATAAAGCATAACAATAAAATGAATCAAAACAGAAAAGACAGTAGGAAATCTGTAATAGTTACTATATTGCATATTGTTGTCCTCTAAATAGTTGCTGAGACAACCAGCTTTAGACTTGCAAAGTCAATCAAACAATACAATTCCTCTGAGTCAGCTGGCTGCTCCTGGAGGGGTGCTGTTCTTCTCTCCCCAGTCTGTGCTCCAGCCAGCTCACAGGCCAACCTTAGCTTCCTTCCTGGTTCTCCTCTTTCCTTCCTCTAGCTGGCTCATAGGTGAGAGGCTTAGCTTCTTTCCTAGTTCTCCTCAGTCCCAAGAATAGTTAGTCCCAAAGAAAAATGGCATTTCAGATTAGCATGTTGGTCAGTAGATAAACTAGTGTTCTAAATTTTTAAAAACATGGATGGTAAATCCATGAAGAAAGAAAGGAAACAAGTGTTTGCCAAGGACTAGGAAGGGGGGAGATGAGAAGGAACAGAATCCCATCTTGGGGTCTTGAAAATGTTCTGACATTGGATAGCAGTGATGGTTGTACACCGTTGTGAATATACTAATTTCTACTGAGATGTATGCTGTTCAACAGTGAATCTGATGGCATCTATGTTACATCTCATTTTTAAAAGAAAATAAAAATTTATCCAAAGCTATGGAGCCAGAGAGGTGGGCCTTGAATGTGGGCCAATCTCACTAGAAGCTGCATGCTTAATGCTGCACTGCTGTGCATCTAGAAACAAAAATAAACCAGCAACCACATCACTGTCTGGCAGGAACCTCTGTGAGAAGCCAGGGACCAAACAGAAAGGCAGGCCCAAAATTCAGTAGGAATAGAATTTCAACAAGAAAATGTTACAAGATACCAGAGAGTAAGTGACCTGGGCCACACAGATGACACAGATCACAGAAAAAGTGTTGGGAGAGGTAGGCAGAGCTGATCAGGCAGCCTTTAAGAGCTAAAGAAAGGCTGGCTCTCAGGCAAGTTTGGATGAGGGAGGATATGGGTGAACCGAGAGGACCTGACATAAGACATTAGCAGGAGCATATCCCTTCTGGGGAGGAAGGAGTAACACACAGTGACTGGTGGGGACAGAAGCTCTCTGGAGCTGTTGTTCTGATTCGAGCAGACATCCTTAACTGAGGGTCTCCCAGCCTCACCTCTGTCTAGGTTTGCGGGGAAGTGGAAGAGGGAAACTTGTCTACAAAGACTGTGACAACATCCTGCTTGTATGCACACATTTTCATTTTGGAAGGAAGAAAACTACATAGTTTTCAAAGAACTATATGACCCCCCCAAAAAAATAATTTAAGAATTTCCTGTTTGAGCTGCCAGCTGTGGTGAGTCCTGCACACCATCCCAAGCCCCGGGAGAGTTTAAGATCATTGTTCCCAGTGGTCAAGGACCCACCCAGCTTCCAGCCACACTACACTAGGTTTGGGAGGTTTTGTGGCCTGAAGACCTTTTTAATCAAGAAGTTGAGAATATGTGAAGTGAGTTCCAGTGCATTGGTGCTTGCCCAGGAAGAGCTTTGGACCATCATCCATAGTGGTTAGGTACCTGATCAGCTTCCTGGAACACTGGAGGTGGCACGGGAGGGCACAGGAAGGCCTGAGCAACCTCCATTCATTCCCAGGAGCCCAGGGCATAGGAGACAATTTCCAACATCCCTGGGGGAAGCTTTGGAACAATACTTGAAACACAGAAATATAGGAAAATGACAAAACAAAATGCAATCTCAAACCCCCAGCCCATCCCAAGAAAGCCTAGGAGCCATGTACATAGAAGAAAATATATGTCATACACCTGAAATACCTGACATAATAGCTACTAAAATAAAAAAACAACTCCAGGAAGCTCTAAAGGAATTCAAACTAGAAATAATCTCCCAGGTAAAAGAAGAAATGATAAAAGTAATGAAAGAGATCCTGAACACATTTAAGAAGACAGTTAAAAAATTAGAGGAACAAAACAAAAAGACAGAATCCCTGGATGAACAATATAAGAAACAAACAGAATACATGAAGCAGATTCAAAGAAATATACAGGAAAAATTCCATTGAAAGTTGTCAAAACTGACTCAGTGAAAGTGAAGATACAATTTCAGACCTCAAAGACAAGATTGCAGCTAGTGAACAGGAAAGGAAACATCTTTTTAAAATAACAAGGAATCAGGAAATAACAATTTAACAGCTGCAAGATGATGCAAAGAAAAGCAACATAAGATTGATAGCGATAAATGAAAAAGAAGGGGACAACACAAATGATATCAAGAGACTATTTACAGAAGTAATAGCTGAAAATTTCCCAAACATGAGAATGGAAACTGACATTAGGATTAGTGAAGCATATAGAACTCCAAATAGCCATAACCAAAATAAAACTGCACCCATACATATAATAATCACCAACCCAGAAATCCAACATAAGAATAGAATATTAAAACCTGTTAGAGAAAAAAGACAGATCACCTATAAAGGAAAATCTATCAGAATCACAGCAGACTTCTCAGTACAAACGATAAAGTCAAAAAGAGCAGAGTGAAGTATTTCAGATCCTAAAGGAAAATGATTTCCAACCTAGACTGATGTACCCTGAAAAATCATCCTTCAAAATGGATGGAGAAATAAGACACTTCCATGACAAAGAACAGCTGAAGAACTTCATGATCACCAAGCCAACATTGCAAAGAATACTGAAAGACAGTCTAGATACACATAGGAAAAAAATCACTAAGCAAGGTAGAAAATTAAACAGAATGGAAAGATAAAGATGCAACAGCAAAAAGATAACATGTCAATAATAAACCAATATATAACAGTTATAACCATTAATGTAAATAGTCTAAATTTACCAATTAAAAGAAACTGACTGGCAGAATGGATCAAGAAACAACATCCAACGATATGCTGTCTGCAAGAAACCCATCTAACCCAAAAGGAAATTCACAGGTTGAAAGTCAAAGGATGGAAAACAATACTTCATGCAACAGGAACCAAAAAAAAAAAAGTAGGGGTAGCTATTCTGTTTGCAGACAATGTGAACTTCAAACCAAGAATGATCCTAAGAGACAAAGAAGGTGACTACATATTGATTAGGGGAAAACTTCAAGAGGAAGAGATAACTGTCTTAAATATATATGCACTAAATTCCAGAGCACCGAGTTATACAAAGCAAGTATTAATAGAAATCAAAAATCAAATTATCAATAACACAATTATAACAGGAGACCTTAACACACCATTGACACCCAGGGACAGATCAACCAGACAGAAAATCAGCAAAGAAGTAACAAAACTGAATCACACCTATAAACAAATGCACCCAATAGACAGAGTATTTTATCCAAAAACATCAGAATATACATTCTTCTCAACATCACATGGGACATTCTCTAAAATAGACCATATACTAGCTCACAGAACACATTTAAATAAATGCAAAAGAATTGAAATCATCCCATGCATGTTATCAGATCATAGTGCTATGAAACTAGAAATTAATGATAAAAGAAACTGAAAAAAACCCCAAAACACATGAAAATTGAATAATACATTCTTGAGCAATCAGTGGGTCACAGGGGAAATTAAAGAAGTAATTAAATAATACTTGGGGCTGGGGATTTAGCTCAGCGACATAAGCACCTGCCTTGCAAGCAGGCAGTCATGAGTTTGATCCCTGGTACTGATAAAAAAATGAAAAAAAAGACAAAAAAAGAAAAACAATACCTACAAGCAAACAAAAATATAAATACAACTTTCCAGAATCTGTAGGATGCAATGAAAGCAGTCCTCAGAGCAAAATTTATTGCACTGAGTTCTCACATCAGGAAAACAGAACAAATACAAATAAACAACCTGATGCTACACCTCAAACATTTAGAAAAAGAAGAGCAAGGCAAGCTCAAAGCCAAAAGAAGGGAGGAAATTACAAAAATCAGAGCAGAAATCAATGCAATAGAGACTAAGAAAACAATCCAAAGCATCAACGAATCAAAGATTTTGTTCTTTGAAAGAATAAATAAAATTGATAAGCCCCTAGCCAACCTTATTTTAAAAAGGAAATAAAAAGCTCAAATTCATGCAATAAGGAATGAAAAAGGC